TAATTTGGTGCTGCTTATATATTATTTTCTCTCGGCTATCTGGCAGTTATGAGGGCGAAAGTGATGTAGTGGCGCTGCATGCCGCTCGAGTCGTCTGAGTCTCGATTTTCAAATCTGCTCCCGCCCATCAAAGCTCCTTCTCTGAGGGCCACTGAATTGGCACTAGTTCCTCTTCTAGGATAGAAACACAGGTTTGTCATCAACTGGCCCCGCAATAGGCCATATCGCCATATGGCATTCAAGAAACCACTGCACTCAGCATGAATAAGGAACGCGTGCTCTATCCCATAGGACATTGATCGGCGACGGGAGCATTATCGTTTAGCATTTTTTTTTCTTTATTCCGTGCCTTTTTTAACTGTTTAACTTCAGATATACTGGTCATTATTTCCTCTCCACTTTACTGTACTCTGTATTCCTTGGCGTGGTGGCTGTCGATAGATTCTGCCTTGGCTACTCAGCAATAGCTGTTGGAAAACTGATGACTCTTGGAGGACTTGGAGTGTGGTGGATCATCGATATTTTCCTTCTGGTCACCGGAAATCTAACTCCAGCCGACGACTCTAATTGGGAGCCTTATTACTGAGTTTTTTTTTCACATATTCTGATTTCATTGTTGTCAGTTGGTATTGGAATTATGTACAGTTGTTCACATGTGTGTAGGGTTCTTGCTATGTGCTGTCAAGCGACTTAGTGCAAATGTCAACATCGCGTCTAACCACTCTCCTTTCTGCCGTGAAAATGTCAGATCACATTTATTCAATTAAATCCGTAACAGAGGGATTGCATATTCACCAGGAGCCTTATTGGACTAGAAGAAAAGTATGGTCTGGGACAACAGCTTGCCATTTAGCTCGCAGCCTACATGGATGTGAAATGCTTGAAGCTGTCCATGGGCTTCGACAGGCGCTTAGCACAGTATTGCTCAATCCTCTGTGAATTTTTTGGTTACATGTGTGTTTATATGGGTTGTAACATAATAGACATTTTGTCATTTTTTAGCCATTTCGAGTGTGAATATAGTGGTGTCGCATTGCGTCTTTACAGCTGAAAGTGCGATATTGAATGTCCTCATCATTGATGATGATCGTTCTGTGATATTTTGTTTTGTACTCTCCTACGAGAATGGTTCCATTTTGAATGAACGTCTTTTAGCATAAATTTTCATTTTCTGTGTGGTAATGATTTTATGTGGTATTTCTCCCATACTATCTAGAAGTATGACTTTTCTTTGATAATCACGATTTCATCTCACATTCAGGATGTCTTTCTGAACTATTCCCATCTGACATGATCGGAGGACTATTTCTTTATAACCACAAGGTACCTATAGCCCTTTCCTTACCTGCATTCCTAAATGTCATGTCCTAGCATCCACCTGAATGATAAACCGCATTTTGTGTTCAGGGCGAAGTTCTTATTTGTCGAATTTTCCGAGATGACTTAACGAGAGATGCCGTGAATGCCTTTCGTGTCAATGTTATACATGCAAGACAACAGGTAAGCAAATTTCATATTTGCCATTGCCATCAGTCATTCTGGTAGTCAGCATACCGCGAGCTGGCGATCGCCTTCACTTATTCTTCAGAGACATGCACAAAACGCTTAACTTTCACTAATGCTGCGTTCTTACTTTGCTGCAGCGTCCACCAGAGTTTTGAGCATCGATCAGCGCCATTGGCGAAGAACGTATGGATATTGATCTAGCAAACGGCAGCGTCCAGGAGTGCAGAGTATGGGGAGTAGGAGGGTAGCAAACTGCTGGTAGAATATGAGGAAACAGGAGGCAGCGACAGCAGGATTAGGCGCACGCAGTTGCACGCGCCGCAATTTTACGATACCTATTCCAGCTGACTGCCTTCTTTTACTTCCACATACTCTCCACTCCTGGACGCTGGTAGACGCTGGTGGACGCTGTGGTCGCTCGAGCGCTGAATCGATACCTATACTTTCTTAGTCGCTGGCGCTAACGGACGCTTGGAACGCTGGTAGTCGTTGGTGGTCGCCAGTGGACGCTGCTGCAAAGTATGAACGCAGCGAAGCTTAGAAAATGCGTTATTTCTAAAGCTTGCGTTTCACATTTGATCTTTTCCACTCTTTGCTCATTCAGTTGAAAAAAGTGCGGTTTGAAAGTCTGCTGAGAGAAGCTTCTCCATATTTTATGTAACACTTGGCCGTGATGGTACAGTTGCCCAAACTGGGATCCGAATCACTTTGACTCCAAACAAAGCTATAGAAAGCTGCCAGTGGTGTTCGTCTCTGTCGCTGTTCGTCTCTACCTCTGATAGATTCAATGACAGAATTGATCATTTATGTTTCTTAGCTGTCTTATCATTTTTAGATGACTTCCCCTCAAGTTTTCTCTTAGGTCTAAATATTCCACCATTTTCAATGTTCACAGCTCACACTTTAATAGCTTCATGCAAGGAAACTTCGTATTAATATCCCACCCATTTTGCTGATTCAGATGCTGAGCCGTCGCTCTCTTTGTATAATAAATTGCAAGGTGAGCTAAAAAGAGTCAAGTCTTTCAGGTAAGATCTCCCGTCGTACTCATCGGACGAACAACATTTCTGCATCGGAGATGCGGTACCGTGTGGATGGCTGCTGCTACAAGAATGAACTCGAATGCTGCTGCTGTGTTCGAGGTGCTTTGGTTTTAACCTACCATGTTTTTGTACCTACTTTTTTTTCCGGAAGTGGTGCCACATTGATTTTCTCGGTGCTTTTTCTTTACAATACATCTTTGTTGATTCCTTTTTTTACATTCCTCCAGTACGAAATCTGCTCCTTTGCCCCAGCTTTCACCCACATCGAGGGACGGGCAAATCCGCTACTTCACTGTAGAAAAAGTCCGCTCTGGCTCCTAAGGAGATTGGCTATGCAAGCAAATGTTCAACAGGCCAAACACGTCCTCATCATATCATCCGTCGTGTCCGAAATATGACCCTCTCACAACTTCTCGTTGGAAAAACCTCAAGAAAAACCGCGTAGTGCGACGTGGAACCCCTGTTTCGAATTGTGTGACTTTTAGAATAGCTTGCAGTTGATAGGCAATATCGCTACACCTCCGTGGCAATCAGGCATGTATAAGCCGCATCTCTACCCGCTATATGAGGCTTGGGTGTGACTCCTGAACTTTCTCAACCATTAGGTTAGCTAGTGTCATTAAAAATAGCTTTTGTGGGATAAGGCCTTCATTGGTTATTATTGGAGTGGCAAGAGTTGGGAGTAAGGAGATTTCAGGATCCCTGGAGCTCGAGATCGTGTTAACTCCTTCATAGTGCGTGAGAACCAAAACTTTTTGCCGCGAAAACTTTTTTGATTACTTGTTTGCCCACTACGATTTTTTTATCATTTCCCCTAGAACTGTAGGACAAGTTTTATGTCTTGGTGCTATTTTTACGGATTTACTTAACCCAGCCTTTGCCGCAACTTGAATGTACCTTGAACTACAGTTTTAAGGTTTTGCAAAGACTCGCCACAACTATGACGGAATACTTTGGGAAAATTACGGAGGTATGATTTACATCACTTCAGATTTTAGCGTGCTTATGCATCTCTCACATACGTTTATACGCAAGTCTTAGTACGTGGAACAATCGAGGGTGCCGATTTTGTTTTAGGACAGTATTCGCTCGAATTTTGTCCTGATCTATGAAATTCTCGACGAACTGATCGATTTTGGATATCCGCAAATATCAGATGCTACTGTACTGAAGAGTTATATAACTCAAACCGGTGTGCGCGGTGTGACGAGAGAGGAACAGCAACAAATTACTAGTCAGGTGAGGTTTCTTCAGGAACTTTCGCTTGAATCTGAAATGTGTGCTTTAATTCAAGGTTACTGGTCAAATAAGCTGGCGGCGCGAAGGGATAAAATATCGTCGTAATGAGCTTTTCATTGACGTTGTGGAATGTGTGAATTTATTGATGAATCAGAAGGGTAATTCCACCGTGTTTCACTTTACAAGTACAACGAACCCTGCTTATATGACCCCAAATATTCTTGTTTCAGGGCAAGTTCTCTCTGTAAACGTGGCTGGCAAGGTTCTGATGAAATGCTTCTTGTCAGGAATGCCCGAATGTAAATTCGGTATTAACGATAAGATTACTCTACAACAATCGAACAGTCGGAATCAGTCGGACGATGCCACAAAGGCGTAGGTTTTTGGGATATACTACTATTTAGGCATCGTTAGTGCACAAAATTCGCATACTTATCATGTATTGAGAACTTTCGATATATGAGCGTAAGCAGTTAGACATTGTTGATCATGCTTGAGTTCTGGTATTATTATTATTATTATTATTATTATTATTATTATTATTATTATTATTATTATTATTAAATCACAGGTATCGTCGTTATTGAAATCCTGCCCTTCCATGTGTATCCTGATGTGGTGAGATGCACCCTATAAGATGACGTTACAGAAAGGACAAGACATTGGCGGCTTGTACCGCAAGACAGCCTGGAAGCCGCATTCCTCGTGGTCTCGACTTTGGATTTTCATGGGATTGCGGCCACCTGAAGACCTCCTCTACGCTGAGACGGTTGCCTACATATGAGGGAAAACACAGTGAGCAAGGTGCACAGTTAGCAGATAGTGGTGCTCGCGACGAACCGAACTTCGAGCTGAAGCGGAATGAAGACCAAAGGTACCCGAGGTCCGATAGAGTGCAACGAAGTGCCTCGGTACCACGGTACGGCGTGGCCACGAGCTCAAGGGAGCGAATCTTTGCAAATCTTACCGGGCGTGGATCCAAAGGCGATGTCAGGGCCCGAAACAAAAGGAAACCTGGATGAAATGGGAGCCAGTCCACCGGTATTTCCTTGGACCGGTGTTCTCGAGAGCGCCTAAGGCAGAGAATGTGTGGGGAAAAAAGGTAACACCTGCGACGATGCTCTAAACGCAGCGATGGCTGCAGAAGCCATGGAGAGCATAGCTCACTGTCAGCTGAATTGAGGGGGAGAGGGAATGGAGATGATGCTCGGGTGGTGCGAGGCAGTATTGCCGCTGTGATGCGCCTGCGGGCGCTGCGAACACGGACTGCGACAGAGTCAGAAACCGAGACGTCGGCGGTTCACCCATGACGGCTCCGGATCCAGCTGAGCAGGCACGAGGAGCACTTGCAGTGGTATGGGCACTGGTACTGAGGAGCCGCGAAGCGCCATATAACGTCCCTGCCATCGTTTTCTTTAAGTCTCCTCGTGGCGCTAGCCCTCTCTACTGTGCGAGTTCGCAAGTGCCTTCCGTATTGGGAGCGTCTTCCGGGCCTCCTCATAAGCGTCCTCATAGTGCTGCTAAACAAGGGAAACCCAACGATCGATCCGGCCAAACGATAAACGCGATGAGGCAAGCAGCCCTTGGCACTACGTGTTAGTACGAGCGTACTGCTTCAGAGACACGAGGTCGCATGTTGGATTTCTTGGCTCCTGGAACTTTTGCATTTGTTCAAAACACTTGATATGACCCCTTCCCCCCAAATAAAAACGTTCTGTTTGGCCATTTGTCAGCCGGCCATTCTGTTGATTATTTGGCAACGGAAGCAGCGCCTGATGTCCTCGCCCTTTCTCTTCCCTCCTGAAAACTTGTTTATATGAACGGCACAACCCGTTTCCTTCGAGACGCTTGCAATCAAGCGCATCAGGATCCGTTTAAGAACACATGCTGTATTCTTCCACAAATAGGCAGAAACAATACCAAGTTCTCGGACTGAGCTACAGCGAATGACATAGACGTATGTCTCCACAACACGGTAACCACGTTGCATTTCTTCATCCAGTCCACCGTGAGAAGCACACCAGAAATTTTCGGTTTGATTTTGACACAATATCTTCTGTCTACATAATCACTGCGCAGAATTATCGAGATGATCGATCAGCCCCTCATGATTGTTGATCCTGCCGAACACGTGGCATTCCCGCGCAAAGACATGGCGTTCTTTCTTGTTCTCGTTCCGTGAGAATAACACGCGTACCAATCTTGGAAAAGTAACTAAACAGCTTTTGGGTCTATCATCTTGCGAGACATGCCCGGAACGGCAAACCTAAGCATTTCGCTGTCAACGAAGGGACGACTCACTGCTGGAAAAGGATGAAGAAGATCCCATGAAGCCCAGAGGCAATGGAGTGCGACAAGCTGAACGCGGCAGAAGGTCTTTGAAGGAGAAGGTGGGACTTGCACCATACAATCTGATGTACGACTGGTTTACGAACTTCTCCTATTCTTGGTACTCGGCTGGATACTTCGATGCACATCCTGGTGAGTTCGAAACACCTCTTCAGTACTGCTTCCCCTCTGGACTGGTGGAGAACTGTAACTGTACCGTGTGTGCAGAGTACTTTTTCATTCGCTGTGCTCATTGTGAGAACTTGTATTGTTTCTATCATTTTGTGGAAGAATACCACATGTGCTCTTGAAGCGTAAGATCCTCATTCCTTGATTCAAGCTCTAGAAACGGTTATTCTCATAATTTTAAAAGGAACCAGAAATGGAGAATCGGCCGCCTTCCGTTGGCAAATAATCAAAGAACTAGGTAAAATGGCCAAACAGAAGTTTTTTGGGGGCTCATCAAGTGTTTTGAACAAAAGCAAAAGTTTTCAAGAGTCAAGGATTCCAACATGCGACCTCGTGTCTCTGAAGCAATGCGCTTATCCACTAGGCCATCGGCCGCTTGCCGCATGCAGTTATCGTTCTCAACTTAAGCAACTAGAGCAAAGATTAAATGGTCCGTAACTCCCTTCAGAGAATCGTTCCGCAAATTCGGAGGGCAGATTTGGATTCAGCGGCTCAAGACACGTCCACATATGTACATCTCATTGCAAATGGCCGGATCGACCTGTTATGGGTTCCCTTGTAAGTCACGGCAGAAGGTGCAGTGGATCGGAGCAAGTGGCGACGTCTAACAAGAACAGCGATGGCGCGGGACTAACGCTAGGGAGAAAAGTATAGAGACACGCCAAACTTTCGCCATTTCGAACTTTCTGGTCCTTTCAGAAAAATGCCATGACCATGACAAGTGAATTACCGATATTTCTCGTCACGGCTAAAGAGCCTTTATCACGTTTTTTCTGAAACGATTAAAATTCTAACTAACTCACATTTTGTTTCGGAAACAACTCTTCATTGTTTCGCAGATACCGCAGGTGCTCACTCAAAAACTTCGTTTTTTCCGTATATAGAGGGTTTTGAGATATCTTTGTGGAACCATGAACTTCTTTGATCAACGTCTTGCAAAAATTGTTTTCATAACTGTTGTCATCGTGTGCTTCTTGAAAACAGTTTTTCTTTCAGAACTCGAACTGTAGTTGCAATTGATGATATCCAGTTCCACCAATGTGTCCGTCTAGGAAAATTTGAGACTGAGCGAGCCATTTGTCCGTCTAGGAAAATTTTTGAGACTGAGCGAGCCATTTCCTTCGTGCCTCCAGACGGTACTTGTGAGTTGATCAAGTATCGCACAACTCAGGATATCAAACTGCCGTTTCAGTAAGCGATTTCTCAGATATCTTTGTAAGAATACCACGGTCTCTTTATTTCCTAGAAACGCTGTATTCACAGTTTTCAGTGCTGATTCCTTTGTGTGAAGAAGTTAGCAATCTAAAGTGCGACAGATAAAGTTAGTCTCAAAAGCCGATACAAGCCGAATTGCGTTGGACAAATAAATTGACGCGGTACACCTAATTTCAACGCTTTGTCACTCAATTTCAAAAGGGTGCATTACAATTACGGAATCTGGATGAATAAGAAAAAACATATGAGATCGGAGCTCGGAGTCCAGCAGACGATAGACGAGGAACTGAGCTAAACTGAGCGTGGCCTGCAAGCGGCGTGACCCCCTTCTCGTTAGCGTAGCTGCATCTGTTTAAGAGGCGATTTCTTTGCTCGATTCACCACCCTAGTATTAAAAAGTCAACCTTTTCTTGCATTGGCCTGTCGCCAGGCGCGATAAGTTACACTTTATAACATTTCTGATCGGACAATTTTACGACCATATTAAAAGCAGATGATTAAATTACTAGCGTGACACTGCGCCATCAGCAGATTCTGGCACGCGACCGCGATGTGGTGCCTGAGATCAGCGAGATAGTCGATTTCTCCGCCACCGTAGACCACCCTATTGAACTCCGCCCGAACCGGGTAATTGAGGGGATTCAGGTCAGGTGACCTACTTGGATATTCCATCTTCTTTAGGTACTCAGCCCCCTTCCATTCCAAGTAGGCGAGTGTTTCTCCAACGCCCTTCGATTTCATGTGGTGGCACTCAATGCTGTAGCAGTACAAAGTTTCCTAAGAAG